GAAAGCAATGGATTTCTTGCTTCTGCCACAAATTCCCCCAGCTGTGAGCCTTCCAGCCTTCTAAGTATTCCTTTATATGTGGTTCAGAGTTCTGGAACCATCCCCTGAGCCTGCTTGGTCGGGTATTCTGTATTGTTGTTGGCGGAGCTCTCTGCTATACGTCCACCCGATCCGCCATCTTGTTTGTTCCTCCTCAGATTCTTCTTTAAGTCATTGTGTGATCTAATTCTTTGTTCTTCCATTTGATGCTCATGGCTCCAAGATTTTCATCTCTCTCAATTTCACTTGGTTTCTCATGCCTTTGTTGTAGAGAGTCAACGTGGTATGTATGACTAAACCACCATCTTGAGCCATCTTTCTTACTGTTGGTCTGATGATGATGAGGTGTCCGAAATAAAGTAGCTGAAGTTTCATAATCTTTACTTCTAAGATTACTCTGGTTGTATTTCTTGTATTTCTGGTTCACTTAAATTAGAAAGTCTAATTGAGGGTTGGAGTGTTGGTGTGGTGCTATGGGTTAATATGCTGCAAGGTCAGTTTGAACTACAAGGTGAGTGGTTCAAGCTCACCAGTCGCTCCCTGGAAACACTACACAGGGTTGATGTGAGTCAAAACCGACTCAACGGCACTTCACAACAAGAACAATAAATGAGGGTTAACTGTCCTATAGGGAAAACAGGTATTTCTCAATGAGCAGATGTGTGTGTCATGAAACACAGGCCCCACCTTCCTAATCCTTATTGACAAAATATTCAAAGTAAGGTGGTTGTTTTTTAATCTCCTTGAAAAAGTCATTTGGACCAGACATCAGGAAGCCTAGGTCTTAGCTCCAGCTTTGTCATTAGCAGCATTTCTTTCCCTGGACCTCAAAGTCCTGACCTGTGGAAGAAGAGGTAGGTAGAAGAAATGGGCCTGGAAGAGTTGAAGCTCCCTTTCAGTCCTAAAATCCCAGGAGTCCTATAACTATGTAGGACCTCAAGTAGTAGGTTCCAGGATCAAAGAAGGGGAATTTGGGAGGAGTCAGATTCAAATAAAAGCATATTTTGGAGAGGTTGACCTCTGTGCTATGGTAGATTGGAATCTGCCTTGAAGGAACCCAAGTTGCAGGGTTGAAAGAGGTAGTGTTTGGGTTGGGATCTAGGAGTTCAAAGGCTCCACACAGTGGGTGCCCCTGGGACATTTGGAGCCTGCACTCATTGGGAAGCATAGGCTGCCCTGGGCAGCTTCTCCACATTTCCGGTCTGGAGCTTGTTTATCAGTATTTACAAAGTGTGTAATTTTCCTGCCTGTGTCAGTGCTAAAGAAAGAGATGGTAGGGTGCCTTCCTTCCCAGGGATTTCATGTTCTAATGGGAGAGAGTCAGCATCCATTGAACATACAGTGAGCCTTTCCTTCTGGCTTCATCAAATATTTATTGAGTACCAACTGTATGCCAGATTTTTAAAATTCAGCAGTGAGGAAGTTATAGTTCCCTGAGCTCCAAAGTACTTATGCTGGGAGACTGACAGGTGAAGGCCCAGGCAGGTAAACGGGGAAGTACCCTGGGATGGAGGTGGACAGGTAGGCGGTACAGATCTGAAAATGGAATAAGGTTTCCTAAAAGAGAGAATACCTACACTGAGGTCTCAGGGGTTCAGAATAGCCTAAGGAGAGCATTCTCGTTCCATAACACTGTGTCCTTTACCAAGAACTCTCCCAGATAGAGTTCACAGTCCAGTGGAAGAGAGAAAACCAATATTTGAATAAACCTAATACAGGATGGAATCCTGGCGTGGCACTGTAGGATAAGCACTGAACTGACTGCAAGGTCTGTTTGAGCCACAAGGTTGGCAATTCAAACACACCAGCTGCTCCTCAGAAACCCTATACAGAGTTGTTGTGAGTCAGAACTAACTCAATAGCACTCAACAACTATATAGGACAGACCATGGTAGGTCTGATAGGAAAGGAACAGATGCAGTACCCTGAGTATACAGAGGAGGGAGGGAGGGTGGGTAGGGGAGCAACAAAGGCTTCCTGGAGAAGGTGTCATGTAGACCGGGCCTTGAAGGATGGAATGGAAAATGCTGAGGAGGAACTAGCCTTCTGGGTCCCTGGGAGGCAAATCTCAGAGCCAAGAGAGTGTGGGAAGTATCCAGAAAGGTAGACTATAGCCAGAGGTAGCTTGAACATTAAATTTGGAAGTTTGGTCTAGATTTGGTAAGGAAATGGAAGCCAGTGAAGGCTTCTGACAAGAAGAACTAATAATCAAGATTGAACTGTGTTGCTTGAATCTGGGAAGAGGTAGGACTAATACTGGGAGCAGGATAGTTAGATAATTTATTTGACAACAACAACATAAGTCATAGTGTAGTGGAAAGAAAATGTCCTTTCTTCAAATCCCTGAACTCTAAGCTTAAAAGAAAACGAAGAAAAAACTATTTCCAGTTCTTATTTGTCAGTAACATATCCCATTTGTTCATAGCTCTCTCTCATACCTAAAGCAATGTATAGTACCTAATTTTGTTGTTAAATGTTGTCGAGTCAATTCTGACCTATAGTGGCCCTGTATAGGGTATTGTAGAATCATAATTTTGTTGGGAATTACGAGTCACTGTTAGTTTTGAACCAACTATTCATTACAGTCTCAGAATGACACTGTACTACAGTTTTAAAATTATTTTTCATGATCCGCCTCGAAAATGACATGGATAATGTTTACCTAAGATCATTTACTTTTTTTTTTTTTTTTTAATTAAATGTTTTTATTTTGCATTGAGTGAAAGTTTACAGGGCACATCATCAGCTTCACATTCAACCATTCATATAGCTTGTTTCATTACTTTGATTATTATCCCCTCCATATATCATCAGTTTACAGTGTTTCTCTCTATCCTCTTTAGCTTTTTTCTTTGGATGTGGGGTGGGGGGGGGTGGGGACTTGGCTTTTTGGAATTTACAGTCTCGGCTTTTAGGGAAGGTTTTTACATTTGTCTGTGGATATCCAGGGCTCATGTATGAGATTACTAACAAGCATTACTGAATAATCAGATGAGGGACAGTTTGCTATGTCTACTAGGTGGCTAGAGTCTGATCCTCAGAGCCTATGGTTTGGACGGTCAACAACGCTTGGGCCCACAGGGGCTTGGCCTCCTGACCGGGTCTGTACTGTCTGCATCTGAATCCTTCTTATTTATTGATTGTTTAAGGGACGCTGCCTGTCTTAGGTGGTCAGTGTGAATTCCTCAGTCTTACCAGTCATTAAGACTCATTGCAGCATGGCAATGGCTCTGTCTTAAGTAGCCGAGGTTCCACATGATCCTTACCCGTCTCTGGCCACACGTCCAGCATAAACAGCCGCCATCCGAGGAAGGCAGGGAGGGAGGAGATCAGCTGGGGACCCCATGCGCCTGACGTTGCCGGCCCACCACCTGCTCTAAGGTGACCAAGCAGGATCACTATGCTGAGGTTCAATCAAGTTCTTAGGGGATCTTACTCTCTAGCATGGGTAGCAAATGAGTAGCCACTCAGTGTTCACTTTGAGAATTACTTATATCATAAATTTGAGCATGTAGCTGATGAATATCCCCAGACAAGTGTATATTGTTCCACAACCTCCTAAAATGCTGTTGGATTAAGTTCCAATTAATTTCTGGGTTACTGAAAGATAACACAAATCTACTTATACCTTGAGTAACCTTAGCTGGGAGTGTAGTCTGGATATATTGGGTCAAGATCATTTACTTTTAAGTTTGATTCTGTTCAAGTTATTTTGGAAATAGTAAGAATACTTCACATCATTATTAATTATAGAAGAGCTGTCTTTTTTTGTTGTTTTTTAATCACAATTGATCCTTCCAGCTAGTTTGTCCTATTGGGATGCTTAGAACAAATGGGAATGGAGTTAGTTTTGTAATGGGCTTTCATATATTCTGTTGGTGCTGTACATGTTGAGTCAGCAAAGAAATCACTAGCAAATTGTTTGTTTCCTCTGCATCTCTTAACTCCTAATGTTTTATAAAACATTGATTTTATTAGCTGAGCTGTCAGCCAGGCTAGGTCATTTGGACATATGGATAGCATTTCTGGTCTCTCCTGTGTGCCTCACCAGTCTGCCTGGAATGTAATTAATGCAAGGCAGAGGTGAAATTCCACAGTGAATTTGGAAGACTGCCGATTGCTTTCAGGAATCTGGAATGGTTTCATTTACTTATTGTATTTGAGGGGAAATGGCAAATTACAGATGTTGCTTTTTGCCGGAAACGTAAAAGCAGTTATTTTGAAAAATTCTTAATGCACCGAACTTTAACAAACTTCCTCTTAACGTTTCCTCTTAAAAGGGGAAAATATTCTCATGATCAAGAACATGAAAAGAAGGATGGATCTTTTTTTCCTAGTCAACAGGCATGGAGTGGCTTCTCACAACAGGACCGTGATGTTGCTGTACATAGATATTTTTCTAAAACACTGTTTTTTCTTTCCAATATATATGTAAGGCTAATCACGTCTATGTTGGTGAAATCTGTAATTCTGTGGGGACTGAAGATGGGTTAAATATCACTTGGAGCAACATTAAATGCTATTCCAAGCTGATGCTAAAACATGTGGTCTGATGCATAGATAGAATTCTTAGTTTAGGCCAGCAAGTTTACATGTTTTAGACTTTCCAGTGTCTTAGATTTTTCAATAAAACATTCTTTCCCACATCAGCCAATTAGTTTATATGTTTTATACCTTCCAATCAAACATTTTTCCCATAGTATTAGTAATTAAGTATTTTGAGACGAAAAGTCACAGTTTAAGGATTTTATCATGAGCTTATGGCACTTTTCTGGTGTGTCTGACTAATGAGTTTCTAAAATGTTTTTGCAGAGATCGCCTTACAACAGGTTTCCATGTTCTTTCGATCAGAACCGAAGTGGGAGGTGGTAGAACCATTGAAAGACATAGGTGAGAAACTGGCCTTTCTATTGTTTTAAAAAGCACAAGACAAATCAGACTGATTCTTAGGCGTGCTTTCTTCTATGTATTCCAAGAAAGCTTCTAACTGAAGATGACTTCTGTTTCATTTTATCTCCCTGCTATTTGAAGATGCGGTTCTTCACTTTAAATTTCTACTGTCCTCCAAAAAGGGCTTCCTGAGAGTAATTTTGAACCTATCTGAATTTCATGTGCGTTGGTGTTATTTAATCATCAGTAGACACTAATCGGGAGTCTTAGTGTGATGTTGTAGGTTAAGCACTGGATGGCTAATCTCAAGGTTGGGGTTCTAATCCACTAGCAACTCCTTGGAAACCCTACACACAGTCGATATGAGTTGGAACCGACTCGACAGCACTGAGGTACAACAACAGACACTAACCGAAGTAATGACACTGTGGCTTAGCATTGAGTCGTGTCGCTCTGAGTCACAATGGACATGATGGCAGTGGGTTTTAAACACTAATCAATTTTAGCTACTCTGTGAAATACTTAATAAGTTTTGGTTAAAGCCCCACAACCAGAGGTTTTGGATGATGGTAACTTGTACTTTAAGAACCATTGTTTCTTCTGCATCTTTTTCATTAAATCTAAACTGAAGATACGTTAAAGTGCTGTTTTCCTACTATTTTCATCAATACAACAATTTTTTCTTTATACTGTTGTTAATACAGCCAACATTATCAAGTGGTTATTCTACCAATGCCTATATAAGAAAAACAAAACAAAAATCAAACTAAACTCTCGGCCCTCAAGTCGATTCTGTCTCACAGAGCTCCTGTAGTCCTGCTTCCTAGGCCTTTTGCGATTGTAAATCTCTAAGGAAGTAGATTGTCTCATCTGGAATGACTGGTGGGTTTGAACTGCTGATCTTTCAGTTAACAGTCTAACACTGTGTCACCAGGACATCTGGTGTAGCTATGGATAATACTGCCCAACTTATTTTTTTGTTAGTTACTTGTTGTTGTTGTTAAGTGCCGTTGAGTCGATTCTAATCCATAGCAACCCTGTGTAGGGTTTCCAAGGAGCAGCTGGTGAGCTTGAACCTCACCAACCTTGCAGTTCAAACAGCTTTGCAGTGTGGCACATTAACTCACAGCGCCACACCAGGACTACATTATTTACTTAGTCAGTGCAATTTTTATCATTTGGTACAAAAACTGTGTAGCTATAAACACATCTCTACTTTTTTTTGGCAGGTTGGAGAATAAGAAAGAAATATTTTTTGATGAAGATTAAAAATCAGCCAAAGGAATGGCTGGTGTTAAGCTGGGTAAGCTAAGTTGTTTTTGTTTTGCTTCCGTCAATTTCAGGGACTTTAGATGAGTTTATGAAAGCAAGTTTAGCAAGAGACTTATGTTACTGTTTTGTGCTCCCAATTCTCAAATGATTCTGTGAGGGTCTCCTCAATTCTGCATCAAAGAAGAATCATTTTGAGGCACTTTGCTTAAGCATTTGGCTATGTTAATGTAATTAAGTTTGATCAACTAGTGAACATTTGGGGATAAGTGGGAGCAACTGAAAATAGTTCTCTGGAACCTCTTTGTTGTTGACAATTTTGGAATTTGCCGCCAAAGAAAATATTGAGGAACATTTTATGTCTTTTGCACTGGAAGTTCTAGTGATACATTTAGTTAATGGAGTTGGATAAATTTATAGTTGAATCCTGGAATTATATTTATACACTACTAGATATGTCATCTTTGGCTAATAGTCATATATTTCAACAAATACAATTAACAGGAAAGACTTACAGGGACTTTTTCTTTTGATAACCAAAGCAAAACCCTGATACTTCCTCCCATGTTTTCAGGCTGACCTTGGCCCTGACAAGTACCTCTCAGATAAAGATTTTCAGTGTCTAATCAAACTACTGCCTTCCTGTTTGGTGAGTACAAGTCCTTCTGTTAACCTGGGTGCTGATATTATTGTCATCACAGATTTGCAATCTTTTCTTGTGGCTGAACATGATAGAAGAGTTGGAAATACTCTGTAGACTGAAGAGAATGGAGCAGTGCAGTGGATTTCAGCTTAGACTGAAATCACAAAGGGCTGTTCACATCAAGGGTAGATTACCCAATAATCATGGTAAGCAGGGGCTTAGTTGTGCTTACTTACTAATCTCTAGTGAGCAGTTTCACGTGGGATTCACCACAGATAAGTAAGCTCCTGCTTACCTTGTTAACTAGGTAATCCATCACTGTCAGGGATTATGAATTGGAAGAGAAGCTTTGATTTTGTAGGAAGATGCTGTGGAGCTGGGAAGGAGGCAGATACCAGCCACATCAAGAAGCAGAGTCTCTGATGTGGTGAAATTGTTCATTACAGATGAGTAAGTAAACACGAGTAAATCCACATTTACCTTGCTTATTGGGTAATCTGACACTTGTACCCATAGATGGCAGGCCATAGTATTCATGACATCCAAACAACTCATAAAAATAGTCTTTGCATTTAAGGCAAACATCAGAGTAGGAAAGCAGCCATTGAAGCTTTGTGTTCTAGGGGAGGATGTTTATATCCGCAGACTCAAAAGATCTGTTTGCAACCCAAGAAAACAGAACAAATATGACCTGGGTGAAGGAAAAGAAAAGTAGCCATTTTGCTACCTGAGTTACTATTTCAGAGGCTAGCTAGCTGACTTTCAGTGTTACTTTTAGCATTACTTAAACTAGTGTTCAATGCTAATCCAAGACTTTCAGTGACAAAAAAAAAAAAAAACCACCCCAAAACACATATGTTTCAAAATGTATGCAGAATGTCTTAAGGAAGAAAACTAATCTGATTAGGAAATTGAGTTAGTGTCGATGTAATTGCGCACAATTACACTGACATGCTCCACTTGGGTTAGCAAGCTCATTTTTAAAGACAGAGTGTCTTGTCAAGCTAGCAAAGCCAAGTTTTTAATGAGGTGTGATACGTGGCCAAGAAAAATGCTGAGGTCTTTGAGTTTGATTGATTATGTGAAACGCTGTCAACAACCAATTCTAAGTATGTTTTCATGGATGTGTTTTTCGTACACACAAAGTGTTGCATACAAATCCCATAATTCATGGCTGTAGTGTTGAATTCTGACTCATAGTGAAAACTACAGAGTAGAACTGCCCCATAGGGTTCTCATGACTATGTATCTTTAAAGAATTAGTCTGCCACAGCTCTCTTCTATGAAGTGGCTGATAGGTTCAAACCACCAACCTTTCTGGTAGCAGCCAAATGCTTAATTTTGCCTCCAGTGCTCTTTGTACATTCAAGTAGTGCATGTTAGTTGCAGAAAATACAGATAAAACTCATCTGTAATTCCACCAAACAGAAGTATGAACCAAAATGTGCAATTATTACTTTCTCCAAATCTTTATGGTTCATACAATTATATTGTATGCATGTTGTTTTAAAACCAGATCTTTTTTTTCGTTAAGGATATACCTCGAGCATATTGTCCATAAGTATACTACAATGTAATTTTTATTGGCTATATAGAATTATCATTTGCCTATATCTTAGTTGGAGTCCTCGTGTGGCACTACAGATTAATGCGCTGGACTACAAGATCATTTTTAACCGCAAGGTCTGTGGTTCAAGCTCACCACCTGCTCCTTGGAATTCCTTTACATGCTGCTATGAGTCAGAATTGACTTGATGGCACGTAACAACAACTACATATCTTAGTTTACTCAACAAATCTTCTGGCCGTTTAGATCACTTCCAGTTGTTTTTTTTTTTTTTAATCTTATCTAAAAAAAAAAAAATCACATGAACAATCTTTAGCTAAACATCTATTTTGTTGTTGTTAAGTTCCATCAAGTTGGTTCTGATTCATAGTGACCCTGTATAGGGTTTCCAAGGAGCAGCTGATGAGATTGAACTGCTGACCTTTCGGTTAGCAGTCCAATGCTTATCTTACAGTACCAGACCAAAACTCGTAAATATCTATATCCATCCTTAATTATTTTCTTAAGATAATTAATAAGTAATTTGTGAAGAGATATTTTGAGACTTTTCACGTATCCTGTTCATCAGACACATTGGTTTTAGCATTCATTGAAAGTTTGCATCTCTGCCATTTCTTCTATATTTAATAATTGACATTGTACTGTAAGGAAGAACATCTCCTTCTCCCCCTTCAATTATTAATTAGTTTTATCTGTACCGACTCAAGGATTTTTATTTTATCCATAGCTTTTCTTTCTGGGGTGATGAAAATGTTCTAAAGTTAAATTGTGTGATGGTTGCATAATTCTTTGAAGATACTGAAAGCCATTGCATTTTGCACTTTAGATATGTGAATTTTTTCTCAAGAAAATTGCTAGAAAATCAACAGCAGTCATTTATGGGTTGATGATCAGAAGACGTTTAATGATTGATTACTATTTTTTCCTGAGCATAGCCTTCCACTACCTCTCCCCAAACCCCTGCACAGCTCAGCTCCCATGGAGTTAAGTTTTCATGACACCCTTTGAGCAAATGGATGTTGATTACCTGTCTAGAACCAGTTTGTTCATGTAGTAAGAATTCCAGGTTATTTGAAGACTTCCCTTCCAGTCATTAAATAATTTGACTTTTTCCCCACCCTCACTTGATTGATGTCAGAGGAGGACACTGTGAATCATCAAATTGCAGACTCCTGTAGAAAGCTTTGTGCTAGTTGCTTTGGAAAGGTTTGAGATGCCAAAGATGCTGCATTTGCTTGTTTCCTGGCTGTCAAACTCCCTGACTTGACACCCAACAGCAGTGCAGAATGCTAGGCAAAGCTGTGACTAAAGACATATTTACCCTCATTCCCAATTGGCTGCCTGAGATTTGATTGTATTTCTTACCAGCTTACAGAGACAGAATATTCAAACCATGAGTCTCAAAGCCCAGCTTTCCCTTTCTGCCACCATACTTCTGCCTAAACTTTGAGAATACACACACTGCCAAATATTGAGCTTACCACATCAATTATCCACTTCCTTTTGCAAGTATGGTTTATATTCTTTGCCTCATCTAAAAAGCAAGATGCTAGTTAATCATCTTCTGGTGTGGCACTGTAGGATCAGCACTGGACTTCGAACCACAAGGTTGGCAATTCAGACTCACTAGCCGCTCCTCAGAAATCCTGTACGGGGTTGCTATGAGTTAGTGGTTGATCATGTAGTAGTGTGAACATGTCTTGTGTCCAGCATGTATCACCACAGTTGTATTGAACAAAATTACCAAAGTGGCACTTGAGTTTGCATAATCAGACCCTGCATCTAAAAAGACCTAGATAATGTACTTAGCTAATTTTTCTACACATAAAAATAAAACTTAAACTTCAAAATAAATAAAGGATCTAGATTTGGATACAAATAAATGTGGATTTCCTTTTTGTTTTGGCAGCATCCATACATCTATCGGGTTACCTTTGCCACAGCTAATGAGTCCTCAGCACTGCTGATTAGGATGTTTAATGAAAAAGGAACTTTGAAGGACCTGATCTATAAGGTACTTGTGGTACAAGTTCATGGTCATAATGAAGTTCTCAGATTCTCTTAGGACCCATTATTGATATTTGATCTCTAAGGTTCCAGAAGCTAGGCCTTGAGGAGTCTGGCATTTACTTTGATTTTAACAATAAAGATTAACTGTTTTGATTAAGAATGTTCTTTTTTCCCACATCAGGTAAGTTTGAACATTTAATTACTAAGTTCATTACATTGTAGGCTGCTCTTTTAAATTAGTTTTATGTTTGGGTCTTTTACTCTGAAAAGCAGTAGTGAAGAATTCTAATAGTAAGTCAGACTTTTGGGTCTACTAAAGCCAAAAATAGGCACATCTTCACTGAGCTGGAGAAGGGGCAGAACTCAAGTTAGTGTCTTTTCCATTACTACACAGACTACTGTATCTTAAATTCCACATCCTGTAGGTTGACCATCTTTGGCCCACTTGTGCATATGCACACACAGACACACACACACACACCTCTCATCTCGCTACAGTCCTCCTTGTCCATACTTATTGCTTTCATACATAGTCTTTGTTCTTTTCCAAAGGCAAAACCAAAAGATCCATTTCTAAAGAAGTACTGTAACCCCAAGAAGATTCAGGGCCTTGAACTCCAGCAAATAAAGACATATGGGCGACAAATATTAGAGGTAAGATATGCATATTTTTTAAAGTGTTTAAGTTGCATCAGAGTTTCACCCAGCATTAGTCACTTCTTATGGGAAAATTCCAAGAAATAGCCCAAATAATTTAAGTTGTTTGATTATTTATAAACTGATGGCATTCTCATATTTTATCCTATAAAAGCAATACTTGAGACTAAGGCAGGAATTTAGATCTACAGACTCCCAAAGCTTTAGCTCTTGAAATTTTATGCTTAACTTTTAAGAGCTTTATTGTGTGGGTTTGGCTTTTTATGTTATCCTTGGTTGATCTTTATCTTTGTGCCAAGATTCTTGATTGTGTTATGTCATATACACAACCATATGGTTCTCTTGAAGAAGTGTAACTAGCAATGAAAAGTCTACAGCCTTTCCCATGTCTCCTCTGGATCAGTATTCGCCAAGCTTCTTGGGCTGTGCAACCTGCTAAAAAACAATTTAAATTTGACTGTGTATATTCTTTTTGTTATTGTTGTTGTTGGCTGTCAGATATATTATTTATAGGACATTTCTTTTTTTCTTTTTTTTAACTTTTTATTGTGAATTGATTGAAGGTTTACAGACAAGATTTACAGACAGCTTCACATTCAGCAAATCTTACACATTGTTTCTTCTCAATGATTGCAATCCCCTCCCTGCAACAACAGTTATCCTGATTCCTCCCTATGACTCCCTATTTACATCTTATATTTAACAAATGAACAAAGCAAATATATTTGATGTGTACATACTAAACAAAAAATAATATATTTATTATTATTATGCAAGCCAGTCTCCTGCCCAAAGGCATATAGCCTTACTCAGTCCGTGGGCTTAGAGCCTGCAGCTACCCTCTCTCTCTCCAAGCCACCGTCTCTGCCACTGTCTTTGCTGGGTAGGGATCTCACGCTCCAGTCATGCTTATTCTTTTTGATGGTCCTGGGGTCTTCTGTTCCTGAAATGAAAGGTTAACTACACCCCCCTTTTAGTTGCACATCTACATTTAGAGTTGTGACAATCACAGTTAATTGTACTAGCAAGTGGATCATAAACCCCTATCACTGTCATCCCTCATCCTTTTATACCAGATCCATCTGGAAAAGAGGAAAACTATTCAGTGGGGATTCTACCTTACTCTCGTCATTCTGAAACTAAGCACACTCATGAAAGCCTGTAAGCCAACCACTTCATGTCATTATGCCCCCAAGTTTTGATAGCCAGTGTATAAATTGTCCATCCCTGTCTACCCAGTACACTGAGGAAACAAGGTTGTTCCTTGATATGAAGACTCCTTCCGTTCCCGTTGGAATTTTGAGCAACTGCTTCCATAAGCAAAAGTCCAGTTCATCAGATTGTAGCAATTTACACTTGCTTACAGTGTTAAACATCTTTATCTTCATCTGGTCAAGTCAGCTAGCCATCCAAGCTAGGTCAAATGGGTACTAGCTGCAAATTTGGGAGTTCACATACACCTCCCTGCACTTTAAATCACCTGACTGCTTCTCTCAGCCCTAGCTCCCGGGGTCTAAGTCAGTGCCAATGGGCTCAGGAGTTCATACATCTTCCTAAATGTCACCTCAGCCAGCTCTTCCTCTTCTGTCTCACATCTCAACATCAATGAGTGCAATAGAACATGGCCATGCTCAGCCCATGTTTTCCTTGCTGCATTTCCCCCACAATTAGACCCTGGTGATCATCAGTGAGCATACTAGATTTCTTGGAAGTTCCCTTTAAGTTTCAGTCCTTGTTGTGTTATGAAGTGCCATCGAGTCATTCCCGACCCATATAGCGGACCCTGTGTAGGGTTTCCTAGGAGCAGCTGGTGAGCTTGAACCACCGACCTTGCAGTTCAAACGGCTTTGCAGTCTGGCGCATTAACCCACAGCACCATACCATGACTCCTAAGTTTCAGTCCTTGTTGTTAAGTGCTGTCGAGTCGATTCTAACACATAGCGACCCTGTATAGGGTTTCCAAGGAGCACCTGGTGAGCTTGAACCACTGACCTTGCAGTTCAAACAACTTTGCAGTCTGACACATTGCCTACAGCACCACACACCAGGACTTTGTTGTTGTTGTCATGTGCCGTGAAGTCAGTTCCGACTCATAGCGGCCCTGTATAGGGTTTTCAAGGCTGTAAATCTTTACGGGAACAGAAAGCCTCATCTTTCTCCCATGGAACAGCTGGTAGTTTCGAACTGCCGACCTTAAGGTTCGCAGCCCGATTCATAACCACTACGCTACCAGAGCTCCTTACACACAGGACTAGAAGGGTGTTTTTCCTGATGGGCTGACTTTTCTTGCCTTGATGCTGCCAAAGCAAACAGCTTGTTTGAAATTAAAATTCAAACGGCCAAATAGTTTGCTCTTTTTCTTTTTCTTTTACTACAGGTCTTTCTTTCAATAAGAATCTTCTGGTCTGAGTTGGTCTGCATGTCTTTCAAATGGGAATATTCTAATTCAGAAGGTTCTGGGTGGGTCTCAAGATTTCACCTAAGGTCCCAAACTCTACAAAGGCTTAACAATAAGCCAGTTTCCCTGGGAAAATTCTAATTCTCCTTTTAATGAATTCAGTCAGTTATAGGCTGAGGCTGGGCTTTTAAGCTTTGTGTAATCATATTTACCAATATTTGTTTCTTTCACACTTAAATGTCTATTTTACAATAGTAGGCAAGGGAAACTAATATCCACAAGGCAGTCTAACATAAAAACAGTTTTCCCCTCTACAGCCTTTGTTTGATCCATGTATCTGCCCACAAAACACTGTTGTTCCAAGGATGTGTATAAATCCCTATTTCCCTCTGTCCCATTAGCCCATGCACACCTCCCTGTCTCTTCTGCTATCTTCATTATTCATCTGACACCCTCCCTCTTCATGTGTGTTGCCATCCTCCTCCTGGTATATTGCCCTCCCTGTCACCCGAGCTAACACTATAACCAGTGAATTACTCTTCCCACCCCTAGTAACCATCAAAGAATGTGTTTTTTAAGTATGGAAACCTTTTCAACCTTTTCTTGTTGTTGTTAAGTCGGTTGCGACCCTGTACAGGGGTTTCCGAGGGTGTAAATCTTTACGGGAGTAGAAAGCCTTATCTTTCTCCCGTGGAGCAGCTGGTAGTTTCGAACTGCTGACCTTAAGGTTCACAGCCTGATTCGTAATCACTACGCTACCAGAGCCCCTTTTACAATAATGGTCTCATGACATATTTGTCCTTTTCTGATTGACTAATTTCACTCAGCATAATGTCCTCAAGGTTCATCCATGTTATGAGGTGTTTTGCAGATTCATTGTTATTCTTGGAGGTTGCATAGTATTCCATTGTATGTATGTACCAGGGTTTCTTTATCCAGTCTTCCATTGATGGGCATTTGGACTGTCTCCATCTTTTTGCAATTGTAAATAGTGCTGCAATGGACATTGGTGTGCATATATCAACAGCTGTCCTGTCTCGTATGTCTTAGGACATATACCAAGTAGATATGTCATTAGTTGTTTCTATTTCTAAATTTCTGAGGATGTGGCATACCATTTTCCAAAGTTTTTGAACTGTTTTTATGGTCCCATCAGCAATGTTGGAGGGTCCCAGTCACTCCACACCTTCACCAGCATTTGTTGTTTTGTTTTTTTTGAGCTTCGCTGTTAAAGCTAGTATGAAATGATATCTCTTTGTTGTGATTTGCATCTCTGTGTCGCAGTGGGTTAATGCACTAGACTGTAAAGCCCTTTGAAATGTAAGGTCAGTTCAAGCTCACCATCTGCTCCTTGGAAACCCTACACAGGGTCGCTATGGGTCAGAACCAACTCAATGGCACTTAACAACAACAATAGCTAATTACTATGATCATTTCTTCATATGTTTTTTGACTGTCTGAATATCTTGCTTCGTGAAGTGTCCTGTGCCCATTTTTAATGGGTTTTTTGTTTTTTCTTATAGAGATGTTGTTGTTTTCTATAAATGTTAGATATTAAGTCCCCTTGTCTGTTAAGTCATTACAAAAAAAATTTTCCCAGCCTGTAGGCTCCCTTTTCACTCTTTTGGTAAAATCTTTTGACACACATAAGTTTCTAATTTTTTAGAGAGTCCCAGTCTTCTATGTTGTATTCTACTGTGTGTGTGTGTTTTGTAATATTTGATAGTGTACTTATGTCATATATTAGAGCCTTAGGTTTGTCCTTATTTTTTTCATTGATGATGTAGTTTTACATTTAGGTTTTTAATCCATGTTGAGTCTGTTTTTGCATATGGTGTGAAATGTGGATCTTGTTTCATTCTTTTGCAAATAGCTTTTCAGTTTTGCCATCACCATTTGTTGAAGAGACTATCTCTTCCCCATTTAATGTGTTTGGGCCCTTTGTCAAAGAACAGTTGACTATGTGGATGGATTTACTTCTGGTTTCTTAATTTTGTTCCATTGATCTATATATTTTTCATTGTACCAGTACCAGACTGTTTTGACCCCTGTAGCTGTGTAGTAAACTTTGAGGTCAGGGAGTGAGAGGCCTCCAACTGTGTTCTTCATAAAGAACAGTGCTTTGCTTATCCAAGGTCTCTTTTCCTTTCCATATAAAGTTCGTGATCATTTTTTCCATATCTTAAAAGAACTGTTGAAATCTGAATTGGGATTGTGTTATACCTGTAGATTGCTTTGAGTAGTATTGACATTTTTACAGTGTTAAGTCTTCGTATCCATTAGCATAGTATAGTCTTCATTTTGTAAATCTCTCTTTGTTTCTTGTAGTAGTATTTTGTGGTTTTCTTTGTATAGGTCTTTTGTTTCTCTGGTTAGATTTATTCCTGAACATTTCATCCTTTAGGTGGCTATTTTAAATGGTACTGTTTTCCTAATTTCCTTTTTCAAAGCTGTCTTTGTTAGTATAGAGGAATCCAACAGGTTTTTGTATATTGATCTTGTGCTCTGCCACTTTACTGAATCTTCCAATGAGTTCTGATAATTTTCTTGCTTAGTGTCTGGAATTTTCTTTGTACAGAATCATATCTTGCTGCACAAG